TCGCGTGGTATTAGAAAACTACGTATCCCTCAGGAACCGGATATTTCTCGGGCATGAACCTTAACCCATGTGTACTCCAGACTTTGTTTTAGATCTGTGCTAAATTTTAATAAGATACGTTGAACCGTAACAGAATGATCGAGTAAACATTAAAAAACTAAATTAATGAATCCCACGGGAACCGTAACTATTCCCGGGATAAACAGTAGCCTATGTGTTCTTCCTGACTATGCTCTAAACTTGTGCCAAATTTCATGGAGATCCGTTCAGTCGTTTAGGCTACAAACGCTAACAAACATCCATCCATCGTTACTTTCGCATTTATAATATTTATATGATATATGATTTACGGAGCCACGAGCAACAGTTAACTCATATTCCACAGTAACTTTAAATATTTGAAACGTATACACGAATAGCTTGTTAACAATTCGCTATTATGTCGAAAACTTAATAAAATCCTAAAGAAACAGTGGGGAATGGTCACGCATGCGCGGCGAGACTCAAGTACGGACCTAAATAAACATCTTTCCGATACATGGAAAAGATTTAGTGATGTACTTTTACAGTAGAACCTCGATAACTCAAACCTCGGTAACATAAAAACCTCTATAACTTCAAAAAATAATATGTTCTTTTCCCATCAGAGCCCAAAACAACAACAAGAACCCTTGATAACTTAAAAACTCTATAACTTCAAACATTTTGTGTTTTCCTTGGTTTTTAACTTATCGACGTTTTACTTTTTATCGATATTTAAAAGCTGTATTGTAGAAGCAATAGCTTTCGCCCGCGATTCCGACCGCAAAGAATTAAAATAATGTCTATGACTTCCAGACTATACTCTAAATTTGTGCCAAATTAAGATACGTTCAGCCGTTTAGGCTACAAACATACAAACATTAATCTAAACATTCGCATTTATAACATTAGTGGGAAGTAAGATAGTCAAGGTAACAAATTCTCTTTGCTGTCCTGGCACAAAGTGAGATTTACGAAAAAAGTATGTATTGTGTTGCAGATATGCTAGAGAAGGCAGTGAATTTAGATATTCAGATAGAGATGTAAGAGTACATACTGTACACTACGTAGGAGAAAGTATGTATTATGTTGCAGATATACTAGAAGGCAGTGAATTCAGATACAGATGTAAGAGTACATATTGTGCACACTACGTAGTAGAAAAGACGATAATGATGCTTGCAATATCGCGGTTTCAAAATTATCGATATCGATAAAGGCACATCACTAGATCGTAACGGCTACCGTACTAGTTAAATATTCAGGTGTAAAAGGGAATATTTAAAATTCCATTTTAAAATAAACACAAGTTGACAGTTGATAAGGATTAGAGGCGGTTATTTTTTGCCGGTTTTTGAACCAATCACTTTACAAATTGAAACATTGTTAAAGGGATTACAATTAATGGTCACACTTAACTCTAAAGGGTAGACAGTAAGGTTTTTATAGGATGGAAACCAGGAACGGATCACTAATACTATGACTCCTATGAGGGATCATACATGGGAATGTAATGCAAGTTGTTGCTCGTGACTACTTCCGCGTGTAATTAAAATTTATAACAAAAACCTATGTTATTTACTGATAACGTAGCTTTTTAATGGTGAAAGATTTTTTGAATGTCGTCCTGTAGTTTTTGAGTTATTTCAATACATACAAAAAAAAACAAAACCGACTTCCAAACTATTTTGTTTTTTGTCACTAAAAACAAGGTATTCTCAAAAAAAAACAGTACACTAAAAAGTAACGAAATAATTCCTTGAAAATAGTAAACCTCCCTTATTGTAGCTGTTATGTCTATATTGTACAATTATTATTACTTTGATGTCGGTGTCAGCCGAGGTATGCAGTGATTATTTATACGTAAGGCTTTCTACATTTTTACCATAACAATTGACAATTGAAAGTATAGTAACAATTAAGTAATGAATCTACATTGACTGACACCGACAAAGTAATAATAATTGTACAATATAGACAACAGTACGGGAATTTTTAGAAGAACCATATATTTTCATTTTGTCCATTTTTTTCGTAATTAATGACTTAGAACGTTTTTCTTTGGAATACGCATTTACAATTACAACTACAACAGAATTCTATTTCTATACATTACTTAGGTTGCTGTATGTATGTAGTGTTAAGTTTAACCAAGTTTCAACATAGAAAAACTCAAGTTAACAGTGGTAGAGCCCGCTTTAACATCTTCGCACGAATGGGCCGACTCGCCCGGTGTACCACGACCACACAGAAAACAGATGAAGTGGGTAATTCCACGTTCCGTCTGATGAGTGCGGTGCTGGAGGCCTAATGTTAGCCCCTTTCGCTTTCCACCCTTTTCTTAAGAGGAAAGGATGGGAAGGAAAAGTGGATTTGATGGTGAAGACGCATAAGAAGGGGAAATGTCCTCTTTATGTGCGTCTCCGTCAATTAAGGGTAGGCAACGCTGCAATTGCGAATGTTTATGCAGCGGTCGCTTGCCATTTCGGTGGATTCAGGCGGCTTGCTCGTTTGCCGTCTTATATTATAAAAAAATAGTTCGGAAACACATTTCATGAATTTATCTATACTATTATAATAAAGCGTAAACACACACTTCTTTGTTGCCTAAGATGTCAGTAATTACAGCATATTTTTGAATAACTCTTCTTTTAATAAAAAGCCATACACTTAGGTCGCGCTTTAGGCTATATATTTTACCGCCATTAAACTTAGGGGGTAAATATTTTGAATAAAAACTCTAATGTGGGAAAGAGATCATAAGTTGCTACCAACATCAAGGAAGCAAGGTTGTCATCATGTCATGTCATTTTGACATTTGTAATTGATAATTTGACAAATGTAAACAATAAAATAAAATTCTCATAATTTCATGCGGATGAAGCCGCACGGGAGCAGCTAGTCTAACATAAAACACTAACGAATGGTTAAATATAGTTGGGAAACTGGCCATTAAATTACTGAGTACTAAACTACAACCAATTTTTTTTTTTACAGGATCCAAATAGTTTTTAGAACTTCGTACAATTTGTCAGGGATCCTAATTGTCACTAAAAGATGGATTGACACGAAGACAAGAAACAAGGAGAAATATTTTATAGTAAACGTCACAAGTCACAGGAGGAAGCGGTAAAATTATAAAGTTTATATGAAATTATGTTTGTTAATTTTTACTACCGCAAAGACGATATCGCGAGTAAAATTTAATCGTACTAATATTATAAATTCGAAAGTTTAGATGGATGTTTGTTAGAGTTTGTAGCCTAAACGACTGAACGGATTTTGATGAAATTTGTTATGGTAGAGGATAGTCTGGAAGAACACATAGGCTACTCACTTTTGTTTTTTAATCCCACGCGGACGGAGTCGCGAGCGAAGCTAATCATAAAAGAGTAAAAGCACCCATTTAAAATTGATGAACTTTGCTTTCAGATTGACTTTAAAAGAAATCGAACTACTCTAGAAAGCAATAATTTAAAAAAAAAGTTTCTTTAGACATTACTTGTCACGTCAAGTAAAGCTAATATTAATTATTTAGTAAAGTCTTTGAATAAAAGTAGGTACAGTTTTTATATAAAAGTTTATACTTTAAAAAAGATTTTACACACAATTACTTTTCTCAAATACTAATCACTGTTTCCAACCGACGGTTAAATTTTCGAAAGTCCCTACATTCAAATAAGCTATTGATCTTTTCATTTGGTTTAAATATACTTTTACTTCCCAAAAGAAGGAAGTACTCAATTCGTCGATATGTTTTTTTTTATTTTTTTTTATGTGTTTTACGGCATAACTCCGCCGCTAGTGGACCGATTTTGATAATTCTTTTTTTATCCGAAAGATAATGCTTGCAGGTGGGTCCCATTTTTTTGTTTGATTTTTTTCATTTCATTCAAAAACCTTAAACAGTTTATAACTTGGACCACAAGCTAACCCTCTAACCGTCGTGTGTGGTGTTTGACCCTAACGACATTTATGTCATTTATCAACAAGTTTTAAATATTTTTTGTACAACACTTGTTTCGATCCTTGTTAGATATGTCGAAATATTTGATTATACAAATTGTTTGTAAAAAGACTACAAATTGTCTATTTTTGATATAAAATACTTTCTTTTATTAATACTAAAGTATAAATTACTAGCTGTTGCTCGCGACTTCGCCCGCGTGAAATTACAAAATATGACCTATTTTCAACCTATTACCAAAAGTATTAACTTAGTAGTAATCAACGTAATAACAGAAATCTACCGATGCAAGATTCCAAATTTCTAAGCCCATTAGCTTGTAAGCTGATTTTTCGATTACCCTTACTGTTTGTGTTTGCGATATCTTCTAAACTATTAGTCCAATTTAATACTGTTAAGGACAATTTTATTCTACAATAAATTTTCCTGATAACAAACATTTATTTGGATAAGGATTAATATTGAAACCAATAAAAGAACGCTGCAAATAGCGCGTGGTTTTTAATTCATTTTGTAAACAAAAAAGTGGTTATTGTAATAAAACCGTTAAAGATAGATGCTATCGCGGATTTTTCTGTAGCACTTTCTAAGATCTACAATTCTTTCATACATCATTTTTATATACCTCTAAAGGTTTAGGCAGCGTAAGCCGACAGTTAAAGTTTAGTGAATTTTTAACGCCGGCGTCCGGAAACACGCTGTTTATTAATAGTTCCTAAACATCAGTAATAATAAAATATAGCCTATGTTACTCACAGATAAATTACCTTTCTGATGGTGAAAGAATTTTTAAAATCGGCCCAGTAGTTTTTGAGTTATTTCAATACATACAAAAATACAAAAATTCAAAGTTTTCCTCTTTATAATAATAGTATAGATAGGAAACAAAATAAGTAACAGCGATAGTTTAGAGGCAGCACTTACGCTTTAAGACGGCATGCTAAATGTTAAACTGTGGTACAAGTTTCAAACTTAAGGCGACTTACACGAATAGTGTTATGACGTCACTGACCTGATTATGATAATGGGCTAGAGGATGATGCGGCACATGCCGCATGGCCGGGTGCAGCATCTCGTCACCACTACTACCACTGACAGACTCTACCGCCTGTAACACAAACGTTATCACTAGACTGTATAATTGAAACCAAACATAAGAGCATCGGTGGCTCAGTGGTTTAAACACTTGACTTGTAATCTACAGGTCTTGGGTTCGAATCCCGCTGTACCTGTGATTTTCAATTTTTCGAGTTTTCATTTTTACATAATTTACCCGACGATCTTACGGTGAAGGAAAACATCGTGATGCCTGCACATATCGGCGAAGAAATTCAAAGATATGTGTGAAGTCAACCAACCCGCAGTGGGCCAGTGTGGTTGACTATGGCCTAGTCACCCCTTAATAGGGCAGGCTCCGAGCCCCAGGGTGGGGACCTATAGTGAGATGATGATGATCTTCAGGTCCTGGGTTCGAATCCCGCTGTACCAATTAGAATTTCAGCTTACTAATATAATAAATGCGATTTAGATGGTTGGATGTTTGTTCGAGTTTGTAGTCAAAATGCCTGAACGGATTTCAATGAAATTTCGTACAGATGTAGAGAATAGTCTGGAAGAACACATAGACTACTCATTTTTGTTTTTTTTATTCCACGCACTCGGAGTAGCGGGCGGAAGCTACTGTACATAATTTACCCGATGTTCTTACGGTGAAGGAAGCGCGGATGCGTTGCCTACCCTTAATCAACGGAGCAGACGCAAAAAAAGAAGATATTTCTCCTTCCTATGCGTCTCCTTCACTGTCAAATCCAATATCCCTGTATCTTCCTTCCTTATAAGATAGACGAAACCCGGAATTGCACCTATTTGACGCCTGTTTTCAGTGTGGTCGTGGTATTACACCGGGCGAGCCGAACCATTCGTGCGAAGATGTCAAAGCGGACTCTACCACTGTTAACCACCACTGTTAGATATTTCTAGATAATCTACCTCAGGCTGCTCATCCTTAGGCTCGGCCTCGTCTCCGAGCTCGACGAGTTGTAAAGCTTCTTCTAGAAGATCGAATCTCGACTCCTCGCTATTCACCAGCTCACGCGGCAGATCACCCTGGATCACGTATTCACCTGATGAGCAGATAAAACAATTTTATATACAAAAAACCACTCGATAACATAGTATAGCATTAACACCTGGTTTTTGATGCATCAATACAAATATTATAAAGAGGAAAGAATTAGATTTTTAGTTTTTGGTATGTAACTACTGGGCCCATTTTAAAAATTACCATTAGAAAGGTAATTTCTCAGTAAGTAACTATTATTTTTTTAATTTCATGCAGGCGAAGTCGCGAGCAACAGCTAGTCACAAATGAAATTAAACTTTGTGTTTATAAACTATTTAACTACGTCGTAGTCTTAGACTCCAAAAATCAAACAAAAAATGGGACCCAAATACAAGCATTACCTTACGGATAAAAAAAGAATTATCAAAATCGGTCCACTAGCGGCGGAGTTATGCCGTAACACACATAAAAAAAAATATATCGACGAATTGAGTACCTCCTTCTTTTGGGAAGTCGGTCAATAAGGTTTAATTATACTTAGCACATTTTTTTTAATCATCGCCAAGTAACATAAGTCGAGAGCAACAGCGTGTTTATTAACATAACTAGTTTATCCCCTTGACTTCTGGGTGGAATTTTAAAAAGTAAAATGTGTTCTTCCAGATTATCCTCCTCATCTATGACAATGATCGAGGTCCATTCAGCAGTTTAGGATAAGTAACAAACATCCATCCATCTAAACTTTCGCATTTATAATATTAGTATAACGTAATTTTTTTCTAAATTTCTAAAAAGAAAGTAATATTTTTTTATACATTTTCTCTTATATTACAAATCTATATCATATTTTTGTTAAATTTTATCTTATTATAACTAAAATCGAGATATAAGTAAAATATGAATTTTGCAGTTACTTATTTTACATTGAGACCGATGCCTTACTCAAAATAACCACCATCCCAGTAACTAAGATCACCATAAATCATAAATTAGCAAAACAAAAATTCCCGCAAATACAAATAAATGTCTACAGACCGCAGTGGTATAAAAAAATCAACCCTTTAAAAGACTAGTGGTAAAGATTCCAAAACCATAAGTCAAAAGGAACACCGGTCGAATTACACGGTAGCGAACCGCATGGGGGTCTTAAGCCGGATTTAAATATTCAAACAAATGAATATATTATTGTAATAACGACTTTACACTCTTGTCATAAAGTCGATAATGCACCATTCAAATTCAAATGTTTTTAAAATATAATTGGATTATTATAGATTATATTGGTTTGTTGATGTAATAATTCTTTTATTACTCTAAGCACTACCGAATTAATAGTGAAAGAATTTTTGCAATCGGTTCAGGAGTTTTTGAGTTATTTCAATACATACAAGAATACAAATCTTTCCTCTTTATAATACCTACTAGCTTTTGACCGCGACTCCGTCCGCGTAGAATTATGAACAAAAGAATAGCCTATGTGTTCTTCCAAACTATCCTCTACATCTATACCAAGTTTCATTGAAACCCGTTCAGTAGTTTAGTTAAGTTAAAAGTGTGTGTTCTTCCAGACTATCCTCTACGTCTGTGCCAAATTTCATCGAGATATATTCAGCTGCTTAGGCTACAAACTCTAACAAACATCTATCTAAACTTTCACATTTATAATATTAGTATGAAATACGATAGTATGATATAGAAGAAAAGAACTATTGATTGACTATTATGTCTATATGACTATTACAGCACACTGTCATAAAAGCTATTTGGTATACTAGCTATCATCCACGACTCCGTCTACGTAGAATTTAACCAAATCAGCCTATTCCAGACTATCCTCTACATCTTTCAACAATCTCAAGGGAATTTACCATCGTACTAAACACTGGCCATTCTGAACAATTAACTTTTTCATCTTTCTTTTAAAAAAAATATTAAAAACAAAAGCCAAACCCTAACCGCAGTGGCATAGTTGTAACAAAAAGGTTGTAAATCCTCCTTTTGTTAAAATTCGGGGGCAAAATTTTTTTCTACAAATTAGACATAACGGCGTTAAGTGTTACTGTCAAAAGATTTGTCAAGATAAGATAATTTCTGTCACTTAAAATCATTTTAAAGATGAACTTAAGCTAGAAATAAAAATGTAGTTTAGTTTTTTTTTTTATCATAAGTTGGCAAACCAGCAAGCAAGCAAATGGCCAGGCACACCCAGTGTTATACCTCGACCAAACAGAAAACAGGCGTGAAATGGAAGCAATTCCGTGTTTCGTCTGATGAGTGTGGTGCCGGAGGCCTAATTTAAGTCCCTTTCTATTTACCATTTTTCTTATAAGGAGAGGATGGGAACGGGAAGTGGATTTGACAGTAGAGGAGATGCACGGGAAGGGGAAATATCCTCTTTATGTGCGTCTCCTCTTCTGTCGGATAAGGGTAGGCAACGCATTTGCAATTGCGGATGTTTATGGGCAGCGGTCGCTCTCCATTTTGGTGGATTCAGGTGGCTGCTTGACCGTTTGCCGCCTTATATTATAAAAAAAATCCGCCAAAATGGCGAAGCAACAGGGCAATAAACATCCGCGATAGCGGATGCGTTGTCTGCCCTTAATCGCTGGAGGAGACGCACATAAGAGTATATATCCCATTCGTATCATGCATCTCCACCGTCAAATCCAAAATCCCTTCCCATCCTCTTCTTATAAGTAAAAGGGTGGGAAGGAAAAGGAACTAAAGTTGGGCCTCCGGCACCACACTCATCGTACGAAACACGGAATTGCTTCCATTTCACGCCTGTCTTGTGTGTGGTCGTGGTATTACACCGGGCACTACCACTGTTAAAAGACAGATTTCGGGAAGATGCATTTATTTTGCTGATAACGAAAATCGCATTTAAAAGCGACAGTTCCTTTAAAAAAAAAAACTTCATAACAAACGTAGCTTTACATTTATATACAAAAAGGTAAAAATCTAAAAATAACACCATCGAAAATAAACCAATACAAATCGGTGCTACTGGCAGCCAACTTTTTGTTTATAAAAAAAAACAATTAACAAAAAAACGTAATTTCGTGACCTTCGCGGTAAAGTAATGACAAAAGAATACGTGCATGTACACTAGTAATCACACTTCTTACCCACCCTTCTATACGTATGAACATTATAAATACGAAAGTTACGATGGATGGATGTTTGTTAGCGTTTGTAGCCTAAACGGCTGAACGGATCTCCATGAAATTTGGCACAGGTTTAGAGCATAGTCTGGAAGAACACATACTTTTTATCACGGGAATAGTTACGGCTCCCGTGGGATTCATTAATTTATTTTTTTAATGTTTACTTGATCATTCTTCAACGGTTCAACATATCTTATTGAAATTTGGCACATATATAAAACAAAGTCTGGAGTACACATGGGATAGAATCATCCTCGAGAAATGTCCGGTTCCCGGGATACGTAGCTTGTTATTCATAAAGTTCATATGTTTTCTAATACCGCGCAGACGAAGCTGGCAACAGCTGATATTATAAAAAGAAAAGATTTGTATTTTACATGAATTTTAATACTCAAAAACTACTGGACAGATTTCAAAAAGACCATTAAGGCTACGTTATCACTAAGTAACATAGGCTATATTTTTTCCGCGCAAAGACACGAGCGACTAGTTATATAAAATGCAATCACTTCTCTACCTACTCTAGTAACAATCAACTGTCAATGTACAAACAACCTTGACAATGAACGTTACGGCAGTCGTTACGAAAGTGAAAATGACTCCATAACTAAGATCATTGGATGCTGAAATACTCTATGCATTATCGAAATGTATTCCTACATCAATTATTGCTAGAAGTACATAGATGTATTGTGTTGCAGATATGCTAGAGAAGACAAGTGAATTCAGATATTCACATAGAGATGTAAGAGTACATACACTATGTAGGGGAAAGTATGTATTATGTTGCAGATATGCTAGAAAAGGCAGTGAATTCAGATATTCAGATAGAGATTTAAGAGTACATACTGTACACTATGTAGGGGAAAGTATGTATTGTGTTGCAGATATGCTAGAGAAGGCAGTGAATTCAGATATTCAGATAGAGATGTAAGAGTACATACTGTACACTACGTAGGGGAAAGTATGTATTGTGTTGCAGATATTAGAGAAGGCAGTCAATTTAGATATTCAGATAGAGATGTAAGATTACATACTGTACACTACGTAGGGGAAAGTATGTATTGTGCTGCAGATATGCTAGAGAAGGCAGTGAATTCAGATAGAGATGTACACTACGTAGGGGAAAGCACTATCAATTCTAAGTAATCATACTAATATTATAAATGCGAAAGTTTAGATGGATGTTTGTTAGAGTTTGTGGCCTAAACGGCTGAACGGATTTCGATCAAATTTGGTATAGATGTAGAGGATAGTCTGAAAGAACACATAGAATACTCAATTTGTGTTTTTTTTTAATTCCACGCGGACGGAGTCGCGGGCGAAAGCTAGTAAAGAGTATTTGTTAACGTTACTTAAAATTTAAGTATCCCCCTTAGCTGTCAATATTAATATCGTCCAATCACGAACTCGAGCGAAGCAATCAAAACGATTCTTAGAAACAATTGACTTCAATCTATGTTGGCGGCCATCTTGTTTAAATTATTAAGTTGCCAGTGCGTTGGAATCTCCCGAAAAATTGATTGTATTTGATTTGACTGTCTCGTTCTTTGTTACCACAGGCGTTCTAAATTGGAGTATTATTATATTTAATGCAATAAAACACTCGTATCTTCTAAAAATGAATTGCGTATTTGTATTTATAAATTAAATACAAATACGCAATCCATTTTTTTTAATAATTAAAATAATAGAACGCATAGTGAAAATTTAAACATTGTGAACAATGAATTAATGAAATGCAATTTTTTTTTTAAATCCTAGAATTTGAATTTCGAACACAAACATGGTAACCCTAAGCGCATACCATTTATAAATTGACCCACACGAGCGTCGTTTTTTATCTTCGTTTGAATTTCGAATCATTTATTGTTACAACGTGTTAGAAAGAGAT